GTCAAAGATAATTAACGTTTCCGTCCACATTTTATTAAATTCAATGCACATTATATACAGTCCAGAAAAATGAAAGAATCCGTTTAATTTATGAATATATCTCATGCATATGTTCATCTACATCCTTTCTCTCCCTCTAAACTTCATTTTCCCATCTTTAAAACTCTTCTATCTGCCAGTAATTAATCCAGATATTTTCAGAAATGTCTGTTGTAAAGCTGCAAGTGATACCATGGCCGTATGGTTCTCATTGTAAAGCTAATTAATTAAGCTGTTGTTGAAATCAATCTGCCAATTATTGTAAATGTGTGATGTTGTTTTAAATTGTTTTTAATTAAACGGCTCACTGTTGATGGTGAGTCAGAAATTAAAACACGTTTCCGTCCACATTTAATCATTCAATGCACGATAGTACTCAGTCCAGAAAAATTAAAGAATCCGTTTAAATTATGAATAATATCTGACAGATATAGTTCATTACACCTAAATTGTGAAAAATAAATGATTATTTTACTGACATCAACAGCTAGTTGTTTGTGTTACACCAAGTGCCAGAAATTAACCTTTGTTGTTTTGAGGAGGTTGTAAAATAAGGTAAATAAACTGTTAAAAGGTCTTGATCCTAAAAAATCTGCAGGTCCAGATGAACTTCCACTTTATTTCTTAAGGCTGGCCACTCATATAATCACAGTCCCTGTGACCCACATCTTCAATCTCTCCATAAGCCAAAACTCCATTCCAGATGCTTGGAAAACAGCCTTTGTTCTTCCTTTGCTGAAGGGAGGTGACCCCACCTCACTGAACAACTATTGACCAATGAAACTACGCATTTTAGCCTAGAAAAATGGATAAACTCTCAAATAAAAAAATACCTGGACTCATTTAACGTTTTTTTTCTTCCCTTGTCCTGTTTGGCATTGTGACACTTAGAATTATTGTCTGAGTGTCAAAGTGATGCCCAACAGATTTACTTTCACAAGCAGAACATATGGCTGGCCTTAATGCTCCACTTGATATAAAAATTAAATTTTATTAGAATTTGCTTTGGGCTTCTTTCAGATATAATGGTCATGGAGATGAAAAATAAAGAAGATAACAAAGCAGAAAAGTGAGAGAAGGGTTAAAAGGTAAAGAAAGCGATAGGAACAGAGGAGAGAGAGGGATAAAGAGAACACAAATCAACATCATTGAAGTCTGCCTCTAGACCTGAGAAAAGAAAAAAAACCAAGACAAAACCGAGAAACCACAACAACAAACAACATATATAATTGTAGTAAGTCAGGACAGCTTTGCTGTGGACACACTACTAATTAATTACTCTTAAAGCTAGTTCAAGCACAAAGAATATTAATTGTTTAATTACAACGGATTCTCTTCTTTTTCAAGTTAAATTTCTGTCATGTGACCAAGATAACTTGTGAGTGGAGTGTTTAATCAGTGACATGAGACGCCATTTTATCTTTGACCCATCAGAAAAAATGCGGTCATTTATTTAACAGAATCAAAATTTAACATCAAAACATGTACACATTGATTTGCTGATCTGTTTCTGATTAATAAACTTAGCAAGCTTTACTAACAAGACAACAGAACATTACTGATTGAGACTGATTCATTTCTGAAGGCATCTAGCTAGATTTACTGACTAATAGAGAAGTTTAAGAGAGGGGGAATAGATTTAAGGAGGAAGTTTAGATGGATGAAAGTTATATGTTGAACCAGCACATGGCACCCTTCCTCTGACATCCAACTCAGCCCTCCGGTACACTTCAGGACGTGCAGCGACTTTGTTACCTTAGTAGAGGATGTATCCACTCTGGAACAGAAGTCCATTGGTAAGCTCCCTTTTCAGCGTCTCCGGTTAGAGTAGCTGGGGGTCATCAGAAATCGTGACGAAGTACTCGATTCAACCGAATAAGCTTCCTTAGGAGTTGAGCTTTTAATGCTCGGGTTGAGTCACAGCCGAAGCGGGCTGTGACTCAACCCGAGCAGGGTGCTTGTAGGAGCGTTTATGTAAATAATGTAATCGTAATCAATGGAGGGAAGGAAAGTCACAGATACAAGGCGTTTCCTAGCATTCAGGGTTAGACAAGATCTGTTTGTGAAAAAGAAACCCAGTTTAAATTTCAGTTTCTGATACGGGGTACATCAGAGAAGAGGACGCTAAAGAAGTTTATAATTTAGATTTATGATAGCAGGGGTTGTACTCTTTGTCATTGGCACATGCTCTGTTTATATCAACTTAAAGAAAACATTGGCAGCAGTTTCAGCCATGGCAAAGCTTCTGAGTCTGTATCTTGATGCATTCTCAATAATCCAGGTAGAAAAATCTAAACAAGTTAAATCTGGTCCTCTGGACATTCGAAAAACAAAACAAAGCAAAACAACAACAAAAAATGTTGAAAAGTTTTGTCTTTCATCTGAAAGACTTCCTCTGTCTGAGGCGTTATATTCAGCTCAGTCTTATAAATAGCACCTTCTCAGAGTGGATCAACCAGTTTTGCTGCTGAGAACCAAAACCAGCTGCTCACATGATCAAGAAGGTCCATCGGCCTAATAATAGATCATTAGCACCTGATGGCTGTTTACTATTCACAGAGGGCTGAGTAATACTAGCAATCACAGCATTGTAAGAGGGGGACAGTTGAACACGGAGGCTCCACCCCTGTTTAATGATGGACGATTTCTTTTCACAAAAATTGCCTCCTTTACTCCTCTCAAACCATCGTTCCTCTCTGTCCAGGATGTGAACTTCTTCATTCCTGAAAGAGTGACCGCTGGCCTGAAGATGAGTGTAGACCGCAGAGTCCTGGCCTGATGTTTTTGCTCTTCAGTGCTGGGCCATCCTTTTGGCCAGTGGCTGTTTAGTTTCCCCCATGTAAGACTGATCACCCTCAATACACTGAACAGCATACACAATATTACTCTGTTTGTGTCGGGGGACTGGATTTTTGGGATGAACCAGTCTTTGCCGTAATGTATTTTGGGGTTTAAAAGCCACTGGGACGTTGTGTTTAGAAAATAAACGTCTCAGTTTCTCTGATACTCCCTCAACATCTGGAATGACCACTGGTCTGGGTCTGGGTTCCTCCTTTTCACCTGATGGCTGACTGGAGTCCTGTTTGGGTTTCTTCTCTACTTTCAGGAAGGCCCAGTTAGGATATCCACATTGCTCTAGAGCCTGTCTTGTGTGGGATTTCTCCTTCTGCCTGGCTCCTGAGTTAGTGGGGACACTCTCTGCTCTGTGGTACAGAGTCCTGATGACTCATAACTTGTGCTCCAAAGGGTGATGGGAGTCAAACTGCAAATACTGGTCTGTGTGGGTGGGTTTGTGGTACACCTCAGTTTGCAAATGTTCTCTATCAGAAACTGAGACCTCACAGTCCAAGAAAGCCAACCTGCCATTTTTTTTACATGCAAAACAATACAATACAACTTTATTTATAAAGCACTTTAAAACAACAACGTTGACCAAAGTGCTATGAGGGTTCAAAATCAGCTGATTAACGAGCTAAATCATAAGATGGAGGCAATTTGTGAGAATCTCAGGTCACCTCCGGCTTCTAGGACTCAACAGCATGTGGGATCAACCTTGAAGAGGCTCATAATGTGGATCATTGGAGTGTATTCCCATAAATCTGGCCATTTTGGACTAAGAAAGTTCCAACAGGACTCAAGGCTGACAAGAAAAAGAAAGTCTGCCTAAAGAAAATCAACAATCGTGGCTTATTTGAATCTGACTCCTTTACTCCTCTCTCAAACTTATCTGAATCTGACCGTTTGGCCTCGAGGCCAAACGTGGGACTATCAAATTTCTCCTGGGACATGGGTAATTAGGGACAAAAGCTCCATCTATCACATCCTTCCCTCCTCTGAGAACTCCTGTGCAGGCTTATCAGAACTACTGGCTGAAACAACATCATCAGAAGTGTGGCCTATCTGAAAGTGCATGGACAAATGTCAACGTCTTGACGTCAAATGCATATGTAATCATTTTAAAATGTGCTTACTGATAAAGTTTTTGATGTCTCAAATCGTGTCCTGATAGGGCAAGTTATAAAGAGATCTTTTTTTGTAATACCACTATCTATCCTTATGGTTCTTGCCATTTTTCTATCTAAAAGTATTCTGATAAGGAATAAGGGGCCACGCTTTTTAGTAGCAGCTACGTGCACTCCGCCCATATTTCGGATGACTGTACAAACATTATCTCACTGTATTTTGGTACAATGATAATAAAGCTTATTCTGATTCTGATATCAGGTGGGTAGAACAGTTTAGCTCTCAACTAAGGTTATTCACTTGAAGGACACTCCTAGGAAGGTGATCCCTTGTTTAATTGGTCCCTTCCCCATCACCAAGATCTTCAACCCATCCACAGTCAGACTCCAACTCCCTAGCTAGATCCCATGAGGATCCATCCTACTTTCCACGTTTCCCAGGTCAAGCCCATCTCTGAGAACCCCATGTGCCCTCCAGCCAAACTCTCGCCACCTGCCCAGTTTATCAACAATCATCCAATGTTCTCTGTCCAAACCATCTTGGGTGTACAATGCCACAGGTGCGGATTCTAGTACCTGGTGGACTGGGAAGGCTATGGACCTGAAGCAAGGTCATGGATTCCTCTATCATTCATCCTGGACCCAAGTCTCATCACCACCTTCTTCAGAGACCACCCCAAAAGATGCCTCAGGTTGCCAGGGGGCAATTCTTGGGGGTGGGGATACTGTAAGAGTGCCACAGTCTGCAACTCCTCTCTCCAAGATGGCCACTAATTGGCACCAGCTGTTGGTCATCTTCCTGATGAGGTCCCACACTACTTAAGGCTGCAGTTGAGGGCTACTCTTTGCTGGAGCAATATACTATACATGGTATTTATTTCTGTGGCCTGTTGTATTTATGACAAAAGTGATACTTACCTTATTATTTGTGCCTCCAGTCATCCCACCTCTTTGGGTCCTGTCCAGTCCTGGTTCAGCCTTGGTCTTGTTCCTTGTCCCTCATGCCTTGCTCTCCAGCCACTTGCCTGCCTTGTCTGCATTGCCTGTCCTACCTGGTACTCCATTTCTGGCACCCTTTCTGGATTCACCTTCGTGCTCCACCTCCACATTTAGACCTGTAAGAAAAGACAAACAAATCAACCTCAACATTCAGCCTCTGCTTGTAGACCCCACTGACATTAGCCTTTCTCCTCAGGGGTTCCAGGAGATCACCTGTAAAAACTGCCACTCACTGTATATAAATAAACAGTTTAATATTTGTATCTTGGAGTCTTGTCTCGTTCCGGCTCTCATATAAATCTGGGTTCCCCGAGATCATTACACAAAGTTAAGTCAGGTTATCTGGATGGGTTCTTTTTAAAAAAAAAAAAAAAACATTTTGTCTTTCATCTAAAAGACCATCAGTTCGAGGAGCCACAGCCGACTCAGTCCCATAAGCAGCACATGTACAGAGTGGACCAACCAGTTTGATGATGATAAAATGGTTAAATAAAAAGGGTGGCTGTGGCTGAGTGGTTAGAGCAGTCATCCTCCAATGCAAGAGTTGGGGGTTCAAATCCACCAGCAGTCACTTGCCGAAGTGTCTCTGGGCAAGACACTGAACCCCCCATTGCCTCCTATGTGTGTCCCATCGGTGTATGAATGTGACAAAGCACCGATTAGTCTCTTTAGAATGATTTGTTCAATTAGCTTTGTAGAAATCTAGTAGCATGCTGTATGAATGGGTAAATGAGAGCACAGATTGTAGTGTAAAGCGCTGTGAGTATCTTGAAACAAGATAGAGACGCTATATAAGTACAGTCCATTTTTGGAGTCCGCCCTGTCCCCCGTTGACTCGTCTAAGGCAGCCATGGCCAAAGTGGTTCAAAACATCAAAGTTCATGCTCAGTAATCCAGTGTAAAAATCTAACAAAGTTAAGTCAGGTCCTCTGGACGGTTTTTTATTGATTTGTTTTTCTATTGTTTTCTATTTCTTTTGTTTAAACAAAAACATTTCAACAAAAAAAAAAAAAAAAACATCCAGAGGACTTAACTTAAATTTGTTATATATTTTTACCTCGATTGTTGAGCCTGACCTTTGATGTCTTGAACCACTTTGGCCATGGCTGCCTCAGATGAGTCGATGGGAGAGGGCATACTCCAAAACCATCTCAACACCATCAAATTGGTTGGCCCACTATGTGAGTGTGCTACTTATGGGACTGAGTTTGTTGCAGCTCCTCGGACTGATGAAGTCTTTTGGATAAAAGACGAAACATTTCAACAAAAAGAAACCATCCAGAGGACCTGACTTAACTTTGTTCCAACAGATACACTTCAAGTAAAGGCTTAGCATTCCTCCAAGTGATGCATATCACCCAAAGTCTTTCATTCCAAAGTTTGAGATCACTATGTGCTGACAATTGTAGTTTTGCTACCACTTTACAGTAAGGCTCCCCTTATAGATGGCTAATAAAATCATTGATAACTGCTTATTATGCATTAATTAAGAGCAAGAAAGAGACAAAACTGGCCAGTTTCTTGCCAAATAGTGAGCCAAATCTGTTCACCTATGTATTTCATCTCGAGTTGTTACATTAAACATTTCAGACTAAGTTACTACGTTGTAAGCTCAATAAGCATTTGTAAACCTATTTTTAGCATATAATATTGTACTTTATCACTGCATTATATCTTCAACTAGCTGTCAATTAGAGAAGCTGCCATACAGCTGTTGTATAGTGAAGTTTGTGGATGACACAGCAGTAGTGGGATGCATCACGAACAATGATGAGTCCAAATACAGAGAGGAGGTGGAACACCTAGTGCAGTGGTGTAGAGACAATAATCTTTACATCAATGTGAAGATGACCAAGGATATGGTGGTGGATTTCAGAAGGGACAAGGATCCTTTTCATCCCCTATACATCGAAGGAGCAGCTGTGGAGGTGGTCTCTTGTTACATGTACCTGGGGGTGCATATATCTATTGATCTCACTTGGATTGCCAACACTTCTTGTCTGGTTAAGAAGGTCCACCAGCGTCTCTACTTCCTCAGGAAGCTATGGAGAGCTGGACTTGGGAGCTCTGTCCTGAGGAGCTTCTATCGCTGTGTGGTGGAGAGCAGTAATTACTCCATCCCTCCACTCTTCTGAGCTCCCAATTAATGTTTGGGATTGTGTTTCTTCAGCCAAGGGTACCCCAAAATTAACTGGTTATTAGGTGATTCGAAGACATAAAAGTCTTTTACTCCGTGATGGTTGCTGGAGATGATTAAGTTTAAGCCCAAAGTCTTGAATTTAATTTGGCCCAATGTCACCTGTGACACCTGCCACTGATACAGGAGAGATTTTTTGGGTAGGTGTAGTTAATTATTTTACCAGGTCCACATTGATTAGATTTTGCTCAGCACCTGAATCTACTAGCACTGAAACAGGTAAATAGTTCTGGTTGGTTTGTATTATCGTGGCTAAAGTTAATCTGTAAGTGGGAGAGGGTGCAGCGGTTCCCACCAACCTCTCTCTCTCTTTACTGGCAGGCATTTTCGTTTCCCCCAAACAGACAATTAACTAAGTAGTGCCCTGGATTGCCACAATATATGCATGTGTTAGAGTCCTTGCACCTTTGCCTCTCCTCAGGAGATAAATGGGTATGGCCCACCTGCAAAGGTTCTGGTTCTGGTAATACCAGAAGGCAAGCTACCAGACCAACTGGTGGTGAGGGAAACCCAGAAGAAAAGTGTCTCTGGGAATTGAAGTTGTCTGAGATGAGTTTGTAGGGGTTATGCTCACCTGTTGACATTGTGAACCCAGAAGTGGAGGTTCTCTGGGAGTTGTAGTCCCTTTCCTTTTTGCACTCCCGGAAGCAATCATCAATGCAAATAGCAAGATTTATCAGTTCATCAAAACTTTTTAGTTCCTCACAAGAAGCAATCTGGTCTTCTATGGAGTTAGATAGAGAATGTAAAAATGTACCTTGTAAGGCATTACTCCCCAACCACAGGGCCGCGGACCGGTTCCAGGCCCCGAACCGGTACCAGGCCGTGGGTAAATTTATACCGGGCCGCACAGAAAAAAAACAACAACTTTTATTTTGAAAAATCACCAGATTCTCTCGACCACATCTGTCAATGACTCACTCTTGACGCAGGTCAACATACACAAGTGGTAAGTTTCAATTTCTGTTAGATGCATGCGCAGATTGGTTCTACATTGTCCGTTCGGGTGGAGTAATTTAGTTGCGTGGTCTGAAGCAGACAGGACAGGAGGAGGTGTGTGGTCGTGTCTGCACATTAGAAGGATTACACTGCATATTTTTCAACCCGCCTGACAAAGAGTGACTGTAAAACTATCAACTAAATAAAACTATAATTTTAAACAAAGCTTCCTAATATCATATCAGAGCTGGTTTTGTCTTGAACTTTTTTGAATTCACATCAGAGCTGTTCCTTCGCATTTCTGCTTCTGGTCTTAAAACAAATCTCCGCCCCTTAAAGTTCAAAGTCATGGGCAATTTTATTTAAAAACACAAATATAATTGAAGTTTTGCGATATGCTTTAAGCCCCCAGTATACTGCCGCGTATATCCATATGCAGTGGTACGCACGTACGTACGCAGAGGTACGTGCGTACCCCCCAGCGTACCCGCCGAGCAAAGCTCAAATTTTTACGACTGCATACGCGTACGCGGTGTCGCACAATAAACTGCCCAGCGACGGACTGTTTTGTATGCGACACCAATGTATTAAATTCCCCTTCTCCATCTCTGATCTGGCCTTTTCTTTTGTTTTTTGTGCCAAGAGACAAGAGAACTCTTCCTCCTCCGTTGTTGCCATGACAGAAATGGTGAGAAATAGAGGAATTTGTCACGAGCGAATTAAACTCAGGTCCAGTGTGACTGCGGGAGGGTCTGGAGATTTCCTGGTGTGCTGGTCTGATGTGTGGGCTGTACAGCCAGCGCTCCCTGTTTTTTTTTTTATTAAATTTTTAGATCTTTTTATTAACAACATATAAACACAGAACACCGCTGCGGCAGAGGCTGCCAGCGCTCGCTTTTTTTTTCTTTTTCTGACCTGTCAATCAATCCAATAGGCGTGTCTGTAAGGGTCCCACTGTCTGCAGCCTGCCTTGCTGATGGCCGCTGATTACCAACACCTGGCGGCCATCAGCCTGATGAGCCTCTCCATCTACTTAAGGCTGCAGTCCGGTGTGATTCAACGCTGGAGCATATCACCTCTTATGGTATTGTACTGTTGTGAGGCAAATGTCTTGGTGAAAAGAATTTGTTCACCTTTTGCTCTTTTTTCCAGTTTCCTGTTCCTCGTGCTCTTTGGATTCCCTCGTGACCTGATTTGGATCCCTAGGCCTCTCAGGTATTCCTCGTGCCTCTTTGCCTCCAGTGCCAGCCTTCCTCGTTCCCCTTTTGGACTCTTGTGGATTTCCCTCTGCTGCTCGCTCGCCTTGGACTGAAGGACCAGCTCTCCCCTTCAGGTTGGACTGTAAGGACAAACACTCTTTTAACAAACAACTTGGGCCTTCCCCGTTGGACAGCTAATAACCTGTCGTCCCTCTTTCCAGGAGCCTCAGACCAGCAGCCTGTGGATGTGATTTAACTCACTGTAAATAATAAACACTGTTCTTTTGTATTTCCCCTGTGTCTGCCTCGTTCTGGGTCTCATATCATCTGGGTTCCCCGCGCACTCCTAACAGTGTCAGCAAATGAGCAATCGGCGACCTCAATTTGTCCCGAAGGTAAACGCCCCTTGTCTGTGAAGCTGCTCTGCAGCCGCTCAGGGTGTACACTGGAGTATCATGTCTGAACCCTCTGCATACAGTACATGCGTACGTACGTGTGAACGGACATGCGCAGCAGTATACTGGCGCCTTAAGTTCCTGCGCTTTTGTGAACAATCTGATGTGTGAATCACTTCGGAGCAGCGAGAAGGATGACGAGGCACAGCTGACCCCGCTGTGGGATATACTAATTAAATGAGAAATGATCCTGCACTTAATACACTTATAAATCACACAAAAAGTGATTAAACATAAATTTGAAATAGAGGTGCTGGTCATAAAATTAGAATATTGTGAAAAAGTTGATTTACTTCAGTAATTCCATTCAAAAAACTGAAACTTGTATATTCATTCGTTACACACAGACAGATATTTCAAATGTTTGTTTCTTTTAATGAGGATGTTTATAACTGACAATTAAGCAACTGACAAATCAGCAATCTCAATTAGTCCTGAAGTGAACGCCCCTTACCTGCAGAGCTGCAGCAGTTTACCTGCAGAGCTGCAGCAGTTTTGCATTACGAACGCTTTGCAGTCATTTCAATAATGAGTTTACATCTTTTGTTTCATGTTAATCTACTGAAATAAACCTTTGTAAAATACACCAGAATGCAGGAAATAGCATCTATCCATCCATCCATCCATCCATTATCTTTACCCGCTTATTCCATTTTGGGTCACGGGGGTCGCCGGTGCCCATGTCCAACAATCACTGTGCGAGGGGCGGGGGACACCCTGGACGGGTCGCAAGTCCATCACAGGGACACATAGAAACAAACGAGACAAACAACCATTCACTCTCTCACTCACACCTAGGGACAATTTAGAGTTACCAATCAGCCTAACATGCATGTTTTTGGTCTGTGGGAGGAAACCGGAGTACCCGGAGAAAACCCACGCATGCACGGAGAGAACATGCAAACTCCACCCAGAAAGGCCCCTGGACCGGGGTTTGAACCAAGGACCTGCTCGCTGAGAAGCAGCAGCTCTACCAGTTGCGCCACCGTGCTGGAAATAGCATCTACTATATCCAAAATTTTCTGGGGCAGGACCCTCAGACCGTCCCCCCAGGTCCATGAAAATATACTCTGACATTAAACCGGCCCGTGGCGCAATAAAGGTTGGGGACCACTGTTGTAAGGCATTCTCATTCCAACCAGTTTGGGCAGCGGTGATGCGGAACTTGAGGGCATGTTCAGATACTGGTCATTTGCCTTGTCTTTGTCCTAGGAGGCATTTTACGGCATTGAATTCCTGGAGCAGGCGGTCAAATATTTTGCAAAACTCCTCCCAAAAGACATCATAAGGTACAGAATCCAAGTCATGGGGTAGCAAGAATGAATCACCCCACTGGAGTGCATCACCCTTTAATTGACTGACAAAGTAAGTAATTTCTGAGATGCTGGAAATGTAGAGTAGAGGTGCTCCCTTGAAAGCTAGTTTGCATTGTAAGAGGAAACCTCTACAATGGGCAGGGCTTCCAGAAAAGAACTCTGATGGTTTAACAATTACCTGCTGAGCTGTGGGGTTAAACTTGGAGGCCGAGATGATGGGACTGGGTTCCTGTGGAATGGCTGGAACTGTAGGAGGTGAGAGTCTTTGGTTAATCAAGAAAACCAGACCTTCTAGTTCTAGCATGTTGGACTGACTTGCTTGTTGTTGCAATAAGATACAATGAATCATGCTTTCTAATTTGTCGATTTGCTCCACCTGAGAGGTAAATGGAGCTTTTTCGCCACCGGTCTCATTGTGGGTCTTTTGATTTGGCTGGAGCATTTCTGTAATGATCTTGCGAAACCCAGATTTGCATGAGACCCACAACAAGACAAGACTCCAAAATACAAAGGTTAAACGGTGTTAATTTATATACAGTGAGTGGCAATATTTACATGTGATCTCCTGGAACCTCTGAGGAGAAAGAATGAGGTCAGGTGGGTCTAGAGGAAGAGACTGAATGTTGAGGCTGATTTGTTTGTCTTTCCTTACAGATCTAGGTATGGAGGTGGAGCACCGAGGTGAATCCAGAAAGGGTTCCAGAGATGGAGGACTCGGCAGGACAGGCAAGGCAGGAAAGTGGCTGGAGGGTAAGGCACAAGGAACAGGACCAAGGCTGAACCAAATCTGGACAAGACCCAAGGAGGCGGGATGACTGGAGGCACAAAGAACAATGTAAGTATCTCTATTATCATAAACACAACAGACCAGAGACATAAATACCATGTAGTATATAATGCTCCAGCAAAG